GGAACATTAAGTAGATTCTGAAGCAGTGGTTAACAGAAAAAGGCTAGTCTTTGCTTTATTCTCTTATGCTTCAACAGTTTTCTGGCTGTCTTAATTTTTAATTTCACTTGAGTTAGCACCAGTGCCCAGAGATGGTGGTCCTTCTAGAATATGATCAGTTCTTTCCTAGTGATCGATATCCTTAATTTAATTCTTGTGTATCTTTTCTGGAAATACTACGTTTCAACCTTCAGTTCAGTTAAATCACTCAGTTGTGTTCGACTCTTTGAGACCCAGTGGACTGCAGCACGCCAGGCTTCCCTGTCCATCACCAGTTCCCAGAGCTTGCTCAAACTCATGTCCATCGAGTCTGTGATGCCATCCAACCATATAATCCTCTGTCGTCCCCTTCTCCTCCTGCCTTCAATCTTCTACATTTAAACCTTGATCACATCTTAATATCATTTTAGTGTGATCATTGTACATGTGTTTTGGGTTGAAATGTTTTTCCCAAAAGATAGGTTTAAGTTCTAACCACCTTACTTGTGAATGCTACCTTACTTGGAAATAGGGTCTTTGCAGATGTAATTGAGTTAAAATGAGACCTGACCAGATTAGAGTGGGTTCTAGTCCAGTGGCTGGTGTACTTGTAAGAATAGGGAAATTTGGACAGAGAGACGCACATACAGGGGAAGTTCTTTGGAGAGATAGGCAGGGAGAATATTGTGTGGTGGCCACACTAAGATGCATCTACAAGCCAGGGGATGCTAAGGATTGCTGGCAAACACCAGAAATTAGGAAGAGACGAATGATTCCTTTCTAGAGCTTCCAGAGAGGGCCTGAATCTTCCAGTGTGTTAATTTAGGACTTCATACTGTCAGAACTATGAGAGAATAGATTTCTGTTGTTTAAGCCACCTAATCTTAGTACTTTATAACAGCAACTTTAGGAAACTAAAATGACATACTATGTTATAAGTAAATAATAAGCTACATTTGATTATAATAGTCATCTTATTATAAGTATTTTATTGCTGGTATATGTGCTCAGTTGCGGCTGACTCTTTGCGACCCTATGGACTGTAACCTGCCAGGCTCCTCTCTCCATGGAATTATCCGGGCAAGAATACTGGAGTGGATTGCCATTTCCTTCAGGGCATCTTCCGAACACAGGGCTCGAACCCAGGTCTCCTGCATTGGTGGCAGATTCGTGACCATCTAAGCCACCAGGGAAGCCAAACATTTAATATTGAGATTAGTCCACCAGGCATTGTGTCAGGCAAATAGGAAAATACCTGGTGGACTAATCTCAATATTAAATTTTTTGAAAAGTTACAATACTCTACCTGAAGAGCACAGCATTTTTCTTAAAATAGCCACATATTTGAGACAGAATTTTCAAAATTAAGTTATATGGCTGTTTAATTTTTTGTTTGCATTGTCAAATACCTTATGTATGATTTCATCCACCATTAATTTTGTCATTCATTCAGTTAATATTTGTTAACCACGTAATGCTCACCAGACACTGATCTAGGTGCTGTAGATGACACTAATAAATAGGATAAAGAATACTTGCCTTAAAGAAATTACTCTGGCTTTGAAATTTATTTCCTAGAGAAAGACACAGAGTTCACTTGGAAATAGAGTCTGCTACTTGGAAAATTCCCTTTCTTTGTTTGCTGTACTTTTAACTGATCTTGTGAAATCATTTTAGCATAATTTGGTTTTACTTACTCTGTGTTCCTGCATTATGGTGAAAAAAAAATAAAATATAATTTATTGCAAACAGGCAATAAAGTCAACAATAATCAAAGTATGTGAAGCCAAAGACATAAGTCTTTATCAAATTATGTATATTTTTAATGTTTCTTTTTAACCAATACCCAAATACATGCTAAGTTTACATTAGTATTAGCATAGCTAAAATTTTGTGTTCAGATTTTTTTAACTTACTATATAATCAGTAATTTTTCTTTTCTGTCATTTTTATAATTGTACTTTTGACCTTTGCATTTATATTAAATTTACTGACCATAATTTGTTTAATCGATGCTCTGCAAAGATGAAGCTACATCTAATTTTTATTATCGTGAATGCCACTGTAGTGAATTCCTTGTCACTTTTGGAAGGAAACAGTTTACTCCCTAGGAAATTTGATATATTGGGTAAAAGAGTTTAAACATATTATAAAATGCAGTGACAGACTGCTTTCTAAAAATATTAGAAAACTTGGCATTATCAGTGGCAGTTGAATGAGGACACCATTTTCACTGTATCCTTTCTGACACTGAGTATTAATAATATTTAAAATGGTTTAGTTATTGAAGATGTGTATAGGAATCCAAACTGTATACTTATTGCTTAAGTTTGCATATTTTGGCAACCGTGAAAGTGAATACTTTTTCAAATATTTGTTTCTTACTTACATTTTAAATAATGATTTTTCATATCTTTGCTTAGTCATTTAATAGTTCCTTAAACTTTGTCTTAGCAATATTTTTGTTTTTAAAGTCATCTTTATAATATTTATTGAAGATATTTTTCATAATCTGTTGTGTCTTTTTATTTTGCGGGCTATTTTTCTCTATTCAGAAATAAAACGTTTTGGTTTTGTTTTTACGTAGCTGAATTTGGTATTTCTTTCCTTGATGCTCTGGTACAGTATTTTTGCCTTTCATCTTACCCATCTATGAGATGAAAAGGAGCATCAGATTCTGCTTTAAGAGAGTACTTGGCTAATTTATTATCCAGGTAGTAGGGAGAAAATGGCTGTAAAGGAAATAATCCATCACAGTTTCTTCCTGGAGGAGAGAGGAAGGGCTCATGATGTTGGCAGGTGTAGAATCTTAGCAGTTTAGCATCAGTTGGACTAGTGGCCACATTTACTAAGTTGTGAACCTTATCCAAGGCAAGGGTGGGCCAGAGTGGTCGGGCCAAAGATCAGGAGGTCCGCTTGGATGGGAAGAGCAAGCCAGAGGTCAGCAAGAAGCAGGGCAGGGAGGGAGAACCAGATGTGATGCGAGGGTCTGTAAGGAGATGGGGGAGAGTGGGAGAAGAAAGACAAAGGTGCGAGGTGAAAAGGAAAGAGCTGGGCTTTTTCCCATCACCATTTCTCAGGGCCACCTCCAACTCAGAGAATGACATCTTTAAATCTAGAACTCCCTGCCTACCTTATCTTCCTGAATTCAGATGTACACTGTAACACCTTTCAGTGTATTAATATCTACCCTTCCTCATCCCCACCTTAAATGCCCTTTGAAATAGTGCTTTTCTTTAAAAATGACACCTTTCTGGTTTTGGAGTATTTGTAATCAGTTTCTTACTGAAGCTGTCACAATACATACATATAAGTTGCCATTCCCATTTTATGACTCTTAAAAATTTAAAAATTAAAATTAGAGAGAATTTTAGATAAGAATCTTTGATTTGTGTCACTGTGTTCATGTATACGTAAAACAATGTACATTTTAAAATGTCTTAAGTTCTAATAAAGAAAGTAACTGGTTTATTAAAGACTGTACTGAAGGGCAGAAAAGAAAAGAAACTAAAACCACATCTCTCTAGTTGTAGTAGGGAATACTTAAAACCAAGTAAAACCCCTCCAATATGTTGAATGTTCTGTAAAGTGAGTTCGAGACATATTGTTTCTGCAGACTGGAGTATTTATTTTCCACTTAAATGATATCTTTGAAAACTTTTGATGTCTCTAAATATTCCTTGAAATGTAAGTTTAATAATTTATATCTGTGTTTATGCCTACAATGAACACTTTTTAATAGAGATCTTTTTATAAACTCATATTCTTTTAATTTTATTTTAGAATTAGAATATGAAGGGCTAGAAATGTATCATTACTAATTCAAAGTGCATTTCATAGATTAGTGAGCTTGAATATTGTTTTGTGGTTATTGACCATTTTTCTGTAGGAGTGCATATGCTTTTCTGTTTAGATTGTAAGAGTTCTTTATTATGTCAAGGACATTAGCTTATTATGTTTGATATTTGCAGAGGTACTTTTATATTTTCATGTATCTTTTATTGTGATTAATTGTGTGTTGGGGGGGAACTCAAGGGAGTATTTGGCTTTTTTTGTATTATATTCCATGGCTTCTATTATATAAGTCTTCTCTATATGGGAATTTAAAATATATATGTCTGTTTTTCTTAGAGTATTTTTAGACTTCAGTTTGCCTGGAAAATTTTTAATGCATTATATCAAGTAAAGATGCACATTTTTTCAGTAGTTTACTGACCAGTTTTCCTTCTTACATATTCCTGTAACACCTTTTTATCATGATAGTCTTATTTGCATTCTTTTTAAAAAATTGTGCATGCATTTTATCACATATTTTTTAGAACAGAATATGATCATCGGGCAATTGAGACAAATTTTCCTGTGGTATAGAGCTGTCATATTAAAATACACATTATATTTTTTCAATTTTATATTCTTTAGAAGATGAATGGTTAATGCAGACTGTGGGAGAAGGAAATGGCAAGCCACTCCAGTATTATTGCTTGAAGAATCCCATGGACAGAGGAGCCTGGCAGGCTACAGTTCATGGGGTCTCAAACAGTTGGCCACGACCGAGTGACTAACACAAAACACAGACTTTTAATTTTTAATCTGTCAATTGCTTAATGACAGACCTCTCTCAGCAAAATAGCACGCTGGGTGTTTACTACACCCTGGGTCTCTGAAGTTGTCCTCAGGTGCTTTTGCTTATCTGCAGGATGCCTAAGTAGCTGTTTACTTATCTCAGTATTAGTATGATGTGATTTTCAAGGTCATCATTTCTGTCAGATATGGGAACAATACTAAGAAATTTTGTTCTTGAAAAATAATGCCTCTACAGATTATTATCACGTAAATCAAAGTTTTGGTAATTTTACAAATAATTTTAAAAGATAACTTTTTCATTTTTCCACTTTGTTTTCATCATTTTGTTTCAGATAGTCCATTTTTAATTGGAGGAAGCCGCTTCTACTTGGGGGCGGCAGGAGAAGTAAGAAAACCACATGGAAGACTCCCAGGATTTAAATGAGCAATCCGTAAGTCTTAATTCAATCTCAGTTTTGCTGAAAAATGTTGTGGTAAGATGACTCAAAATCATACTGGAAGGGATATATTGTAAAAAGAAGTTTTTATTAAACATATTTTTAGTCAAATTCTGAATCCTCTTTCAAGATCATAAAACATACCTTTGGAAATGTATACTGTTTCTGCTTAATGATATAATGTTTTGAGGTCTTCCTTGACTGTCTTCTTATAAAGACAATGATAGAAAGATGAGGGCATTGAAATTGTGCAAAGTGTTTCTTACTGTCTAAACAGTTTTACACACCTCCTTTATTGGGTTTTATCCCAGAGGCACTTGGATGGTGCATGTGGGGTTGACTGTCAGGAGTATGAAAGGTAAAGCATATCACTTGCATGCCTGTTGTTCACTTTGAGGATGGCGACCACAGTCCTGAAGGGGCTTCCTTATTTTGCTAAGGTCTTTGCAGGGCTTCCCTGTGGCTCAGCTGATAAAGAATCCACCCACAATGTGGGAGACCTGGGTTCAATCCCTGGGTTGTGAAGATGCCCTGGAGAAGGGAAAGGCTGCCCATGGAGAATTCCATGGACTGTATGGTTCATGGAGTCGCAAAGAGTTGGACACGACTGAGCGACTTTCACTTTGCCCAGGGAGGAATGCACGAGATTGGTGGCAGCCATTCTAAAATTCAGATTTCTCAATGGGAAAGGACTTATATAGCCTTTCCTCCTAATTTATTAGCAGTGTCTTCATGACACTAGTCCTTCACGGGAGTCAGTGGGAGTCAGTGGGAGGTTCTGCGTTCACTCCCCACTCCCACAGTACCGCCAGTTGCATCCAAGCTGTTCTGTCCACAGACTGTTAGTGATGTCACAAATGAGGAGATGTATACTTACCATGTGTGTATTATTTGCTTGTATGATTATGACTAGATCTTAGAATCTTATATTCCCATCAGGCCACAGAGGACAGTGTATTTGTTATAATAATCTGGTTCTGGAAGTGATTTCTGAAATGAGTTCAATTTTAAAATTCAGAGTAATGTGCGTTCTGATGTATAGATGTCATTCCAAGTTAGTTTGTTTTCTATTAATGTTTCATTTAAATGACATGATAATTGAGTTTTCAATTTATAGACAGATATGACCATTGTCTAACATCTTTATATATTACATTATTATTTAATTTCACCTGGTATTATTGCAGGAAAAATGTAACAAAAAATTACAAAGACCATTAAAATATTCGTCAAATAGTAGAGATTATTCCACAAAAAATGCCTGAGTTTTTACAAAAGTAGACAAAAGACAGTTGGGAAGCAGGGGCTTCAAAGTAGTTTTTTAAAATGCTGGTTACTGAACCTAAATACTGATAGCATGGGCTCTAGTGAAATGGATGGTAGTCAGCATGATATGTCACCCATGCCATTCTTGCCTCTCTTTTGATCCCAGTGGCATCCGAGGTCTGTAAGTGTGACCGTGTTCCCGAGTGAATGATGACTTCATCTTAGTGGCGATGCTTCATGAGAGGGCTGTTATCTATCTGTACTTTGTTCTGACACATTGGACATTACTTAAAAGTTTGTGTCCATCTGTGTAAGAATGTGTGTGTGTGTGTATGTGTATCTGTGTGTGCGTGCATGCATGTGCATGTGAGCTAGATTGACCTACTGTCCCTGTTTTCCAGGGACCCAGGAGTTTCCTGTGACTTGGAACTTTCAAAGCTAAAGCTGGTAAAGTCCGTGCAACCCAGGATGATCCAGTTAATTACCTTAGGGGGTGTGTGTGTATACTTAAGAACAAATTTTTGATTCAGCACAATTAAATGAAGCTAAAGACAATATAGTCTTAGGTTTAACATTAGAGTGAGGTTATTACACAAGATGCTTCATATCACCTTTTACAAAATGAAACCCAACCCCTGTAAATCTTATAGGGTTTACTCCTAGTGATATTTTAATGCTGTGGAATTTGGTATTTTTTTAAAAATTAAGTTCTCAGTGTTGTTCATGTTCAGCCAGGTTTGAGAATCAGAAATCTTGAGTGACCGACCTTCTGGTCTTTCAGCTCAAACCCAGCTGCTGAATTGGTGGTGGGAATGTGAGAGATTTCGAGAGAAGGAAGGATTGCTCTCATTCTCCTTTCCTTTTTTCCCTCCCCAGTCCTAAACTCTCCCCCTGCGGATGACGATTCTGTCAGGGTCAGATTGGAAGCCTCTGCTCTCTGGTCATCAGGACTGTGTTTGTCTGGTTTAACCCACACGAAATGTGAAGTTTGTGTCAAGGGTTCAGGGCTTAATGGCTTTAAATCTGTAAGCATCATAAATCCTTCTCCTTAGACTTAGCAGAACATACAGGCCAATCTGTTCATCTTGTGCATGTGTAAAGGGATGCTTGGGACTATTAAGTCCCAAGTCAGAGTTGGGACTTCACAACAGTCTTCTGACTCCAAGTCCAAAGCTTTCCCCATTACATCCACATGCCTTAAATGCATTTGAATTTTCTTGTTTGGACTTTCATCACCATAGAATAAACTCCCATTAGGGTGAAATGATTCCTGTTTGAATGAAGTCTTTAAATGACTTTAAATCTTGCAGAGTTATATTGATTAATGTCTCAAAGCTTTTTGAAAAAAAAAATGCTTGGCATTTATTAAGGTATAGGACAAATAGGCTGAAATTTTTAAAAAGTTCTTAGTAAAATGAAAGAGAATTTACTTATATTATAGCTATTTTACTTCAAAAAGAAGTTTTTTTCTCTATGCATAGATGTAGCAAGAGGTGTCATTTATTGCACATTTTATACTCATCTAGCATTTTCTGTAGACTGTCTTCAACCCTTACCATATCCTTGCTTCATGTTTGTTATGGTCACCATTTTACAGATAAGAAAACTGTGGCTTAGAGAATATTAAGGTCAACCAGCTTTTAAGTAGCAGAGATTAGAATCGAACCTATTTTTCAGTTCAGTCGCTCAGTTGTGTCCGACTGTTTATGAGCCCATGGACTGCAGCACGCCAGGCTTCCCTGTCTATCACCAACTCCCGGAGCCTACTCAAACTTATGTCCTTCAAGTTGGTGATACCATTCAGCCATCTCATCCTCTGTCATCCCCTTCTCCTCCTGCCTTCAGTGTTTCCTAGCATCAGGGTCTTTTCCAATGAGTCATTTCTTTGCATCAAGTGGCCAAAATACTGGAGTTTCAGCTATTTTTATCTGGCCCTAAAATCAGTTGGTTTTTAATGAGTATGTGTGTTCATTCTTGCAAATTCAGCTGCCTTCTAGGAGACATAGCTGGCTTGGAGCACAAGGGTCTGTACACTCAGCAGATAAAAACTGAACTGAACCCGCCAGCTTTCCTCTCCCAGCTTTTCCCCCTTTCTCCTCTCTTCCATCTCAGTGGATGACATCATCAGCTACTGAGTAAGTTCATTCGGAAAACTGGAAGTCATCCTTTTCTCCATCCCCATTTCAAAATCCTATCCATTCTTAATTTTTAGTACCTCTCAAAGTTGTTCTCTTGGTTCCAAATCCTTATTTTGGATCTTTATTTTAATAATCTCCTGTATTTTTCTGCTTTAAGTTTTTTCTAGAGTGGTCTTCCTAATTTACATATATAAAGTGAAATTTGCTCAGTCCAATCGTGTGCAACTCTTTGCTACCCCATGGACTGTCCCTGGAATTCTCCAGGCCAGAATACTAGAGTGCGTAGCCTTTCCCTTCTCCAGTGGATCTTCCGGACCCAGGGATTGAACTGGGGTCTCCTACATTGCAGGTGGATTCTTTACCAACTGAGCCATCAGGGAAGCCCTTTACATATCTAATCCCATCCTTACTCTACTTGATAATCTTCACAGACTCTTTCTTGCCTTCAAGAGGAAAATCCCACGTGTGTAGTAAAGTGCTCAGACTTCATTGCTTGCTTTATCTGTAGTTTTAGTTTTGGCTTCTCTTGGTTCCCTGAATCTCGCAGGCTCTCGGTGGTCTCTGTCTCCCAGCTGAGCCTGTTCCTCACTGGAGAACATGTAAATCTTGAAGACTCGCGATGGGTTTCCCTCCCTCGAGGAAGGCGCTCAGGTTTCCCCCTCCTTCCCCAGGCAGTCAGCTGCCCTGGGTCAGGGGCCCCCCGCACTGGGCCGATGTACCCTTTGGCATTTACCTCTCTCCCCCAGGACTTACCCCACAGAGCTGAAATCTTATCTGTTTATTTGCCTCTCCACTAGATTATAAACTACTTAAGCGTAATAATGGGTCTTGATCATCTTGTATCCTTCCTTCTTAGCACAATTCTTATTGACATTCGATAAATGTTTTCTTCAAAAGCTTTTATATACTGTTAGTAAGGTATGTTAGGGAATAGCCTGACAAATTTTAGAAAGCCAAGATGTTATTCTCAGAATGGATTACTGACTCATGAATTCATGTATCACTTATTTAAAACAGTTGCGTATAACATGTAACACTAGTTTAACAGCATGTGATCAAAACAAATTTTGGTCCTCAGTACTTTTTTTTTTTTTTTGCACTTATCTGGATTACTTTTTGCAGTCTGGTTTAGAGGATCTTGGAAATTTTAAGAGATAAACAATGAAAATGAAATTTAGCTTTCATATTTGAAGTTCTTTATTAGAACTTTATAATTACTTAGAAGCAATTTGTTATATCCAATTATAGCTCACTACAGTTTTTAATGACATGTTGCTCTTATTAATAGAAATAAACATGAATATAGATTATGTAGAGCAGTTCAGTTCAGTCGCTCAGTCATGTCCGTATTTATACTAACAATCAGAAATTCCTTTGATACTCTGAAATATATTCTTTGTATTCAAATAATGACTAATCAGTGTTTATGTTTTTATAGCTCCTACAGTATCCTCACACATTGAAAAATTTTAGTCTTTTTTAAAGATTTCCACAGATTTTTTCTGGTCTGATTCATTCATATCAAAGTGAGAGGGCATTTGGCCTAAATTTACCATCAAGCTAGAAGGTTTAAAAAAATACTGTTTATAA